AAAACATGGAAATACCAAGGTATGCATAATGCACTAAAGGTAAATGTTAGGAGACCAAACTGGTGAAGAATAATACCCTGATTGAAAACAGACCATGTTTAAATGCATGCAATAACAATTTGATCAGTGCTGCCAATCATGTTTACTTATGCCCTAGGAAGGGGAACACTGAACATTTAATCAACAGAAATAATTACAACCCTGGACTAATTTGTCACACAGACATCAATATGCTCAGCTGAAACTATGCAGTGGAACAGGTTCAGATTTGACTCACACAAGGCAAGAAGCCACCCACACTGAGTCACCAAGCCCAGTTTCCTAAACGATGAGTTTCAGTTCAAGCAACTGATGGAATACACCATTTGGAAACAACTAAAGTCTAGCCTTCTAGTTTTCCAGTAGCTTGTTCTTAAAAATAACTGTACTACATTTTCAGAACTCCAAATGCTTAAGAACTCCACTGGATAAATTGCCAGCCTTGGATTAGATATATCCTGTGAAAGCCTGTAGCTTCCCACTCCAGCACCAACCCTGTAGAATAGCTCACTTACACTGTGGGGCTGTCTCACTTCTTTCTTTCCGCTGCCACCACTTATTGTCACCTAGGGCAAGGACTGTAGGACTCCCACTGTCATACTGTAATCTACTGGGGAGAAGGGAGTCCAGACAAATAGTGGCTGCCTGATAATTTCAGCCCATCACCCCTCCTGTTCTCCAAGGCACTTTAAAACAGCAGTATAGTCCAAAGGTCAAAACAACATGGGGGGAAACAAACAGAAACCAGAAACCAGTACAGCCCAGAAACTCATTTTAGAAGTTTATTTGGGAAAGTGGGAGAAACAGTGAGCAGCTACCACCAAAACAAAAACACAACACTAAACCAGAATGCTGGTCTCTCTCATCCGTGGGCAACATCCAATCTATGCAAGTGCTGACAGTCAGCTGACCATCAGGACCTCTGTGCACAGTGTTGTGCAAGCCCCAACGGTCAGCTGATCTTTGCAGCTGGCAAGCTGCACAGCACTGTGCAAGATCTGATTGTCGGGGCTTCTGTGCACAGTGCTATGCAAAAATGATATCATTGTGATGTGATTGACAGGTGGGTGGCCCTACCCACCTGTTAAACAAGGCTCATGGAGATAAGGATCCGGCCTGCTGGCTGGATCTAATTCCCATCCCTGGTCTGTGTAATTATATACTAGGCAAACTATCATAGTGAAACTTACTCTTAGGATGCCCTCTGCTGTTCGCAACATCTGGAGTTGGTTGAAGGATGGAGAAAGGATGGAGTGTGTGTGTGTGTGTGTGTGTGTGTGTGAGAGAGAGAGAGAGAGAGAGAGAGAGATCCACTTGGACTAGATGATCCTTGAATCTATGAAGAAAACTAGAGCAGTACAGTCTGATTCTCATCCTGCTTTTTCTCTTTCACATTAACTTTTCTATGTAGGAAAACCAATCATGGGCTCTCATTGTGGCGGATCCTCTTACCACTACAGTGACACATACCTACATTTCAACTCAAATGAATGCTGGAGGGAGAAGCTGCTGAACAAAGTCATTTTCTGATAAAACACTCTACTTTAAAATAATTGCTCAATGGATAAGATTGGTTTTCTAAGCTGCTATTCTTGTAAAATAACTGTTAAGATAGAGGAACTGATAAAGTAAATCAGAAGCAACTGTATTATCTACTGTTTTAATCCTAGTACTCACGTTTTCCAAGAGCATTTTTCATCTAAATTTGTGGTCTTTGAACAGGAGCAGTGGTACATGTGCCACAACTGCTTGTCAATTTTCACCCCTGCAATTTCTGTCACCTCAAACACAGATTTTTGGAAACGGGGCGGGGGTGTGTGTGTGTGTCTTCTGAAGTAGTCCAAAACATTAACTTCAATGAAATGGACATATTTTCATAACATCTGGTCCTTGACTCTTGTAAAGTGAGCAGCGTCATGGATAGTAGACTGCAGTTACTGTTTCAAGAATCTGTTTTTGTCTATAAACTAAGATGGGGAATTGTTACGGTGTTGAATCTCATAGCAGTTCAAGTGGCACCCTTTCTTTTATCAGACATCACACCCTACTTTGCTATCCATTTCCACTGACACGTAATGCTAAATAGAGCTTGTGAACCCCACTCATGTGATCATATACTAAATGAGAATGACTGCACACACATATTCAGGTTTTTGTTTAAATTAAAAACCAGATCTCCACTGAGTTATACCTGATATTCTTTTGACAGTGAAGACAAATATTTCTAAAACTTACTGCTGAACTAATAATTGTACAGTGTTCCTTTGCAATAATCTTCTACTTCTCCAAACCTCTGGTCTAAAAGTAGTTTCACAACATGCGCTGGTTTGCAAAATCAGCTTTGCACAAGAGGGTACAATGATCTCTTAGAAAAGGAAATTCTTGGAAGAGTTGTTTGCTTTCCAAGACTCATCATCATCTAATTCTAAGGAACATGAACAGGATTCTGTTTGTATAGTTAGACTGTTATAAATAGAAAAGAGAACATTTATTGAGAGTGCTGGCGCAGTTTTCATGTCGGAAAGGGAAAAATATACCTCACTTTAAAGCTATTATTCATCATGTAATTCTATCGTATAGAAATCGATTTTATTGATCTTTTCTTAAGATGTGTGCAAGCAGAAGTGAAATGCCTACTGTTAGAAAATCCCATAAACTCTAGACAGCACCAAGTAGCCCTTAAGAGCATATGAAATTTCAGGAGTGATATGAATATGATAAAAAATCAATTTGCTGCAAAAAGAGATTTTGTAAGCCAAGTGGCCCTTAAGTGCATTTGAAGGAGTGGTAGGAACCTAATAATCAATTTGCTGTGAGAAAAAGGGATTTTGAAAGAAAAGTGAACATTAGGAACTAATACAGATGGTTTGTTCTCTAGCTAAACTATGGTTTAGTGCTGCACGGATGAGGCCCAAGGAAAGGACTTCTGGGGTTTGTGTGCTTCTTTCCTTGTTACAGAGAAGGAGGATTTCAGTTGAGTTTAGTTTCAATTTTTACTAATATTGGCTGTTGGATGGGAGGAATGGAGCACAATCATGTGGAAGGGGCTTGAGAGTATATTAAACCAGTTATTGGAGGCTGTGGTCAAAGGAACAGATTAAAGTTAGATCCAGATAAAATGAAAGTGAAGTTGGTTAAGAATGAAAATAGATTATGTAACAAAATGGTTGGTCTCACATGACACACTAAACAATAGTTTAGTGGAACATGCTTAAGTTGCAATGACCATGAGTAAAGCCTGAGGTCAAGAGCTCCCACCTTCCTGTGAGCCCAGGAGAAGGACGTCTGCAGTACAGTGGTACCTCAGGTTAAGTACCTAATTCGTTCTGGAGGTCCATACTTAACCTGAAACTGTTCTTAACCTGAAGTACCACTTTAGCTAATGGGGCCTCCTGCTGCTGCCGCACCGCCGGAGCACAATTTCTGTTCTCATCCTGAAGCAAAGTTCTTAACCTGAAGCACTATTTCGGGGTTAGCGGAGTCTGTAACCTGAAGCGTATGTAACCTGAAGTGTATGTAACCAGAGGTACCACTGTATTAGTTTTGGTTTCAAACAATCAAGGCTCACTGTTTTTTTTAGCAACCTCAGACAGTGATTTAAAACAAATTCTTCTGAGTGAAACAAGATAGTATCAAAACCCACAATGTGAAGTTGGCTCATTCGGAAACTGACCAGACTACATACACACATATGTAAACCTTATAAATAGATTTTTAGCACATCTACAGAGTTATTTCTTTAAAAGACACACACACACACACACACACACACACACTCATCAGCATGCTTTTAATCTCATTCCCACACAGCAAATGGATTAAGTACACTCTACCTACAAGCCTATCAACTGAAGTGTAGGACTCTCAGGCAGGATAATTGTCTTTCTTTCTTTCTTTCTTTCTTTCTTTCTTTCTTTCTTTCTTTCTTTCTTTTTTAAGAGAGAGGCCATTTAGCTAGTGTTAGTTAATCCTTAGATTGAAACCAGAACTTCCACATAACTATGTAGCTAAAACATCAATGACCCGAAGAGTCGCTCAGACTGATGATCATCTAGTTGCCAATGCAAAACTACCATACTATTATGAAATAATCAATTATTAATTTATATACCACCTGCATGCCAAAATGGCTTCTAAGTATTTTACAACTATAAATCAATACATGGTTAATCAATAATGATTCCACTCAATACCAGAACATCCTTGATTAAAATATACACTAAAACAAGTGATTAAAAAGCATGACAATTAAAACCGTTTTAAAAAGAAAAAGTCAGCTAATAAAATCAGAAATTCAGTTCAGGGAAATGCTTGCCTAAATAATAAATTATCAGGCTGTGGCAAAACTAACCATGTTTCATCAGCTGACTGTAGAGCCCTGGCTGGGTCCAGTTATTTAGGGCTTTGTACGTAAGTAGCAGAACCTTAAAATAGGTTAAATAAAGAACCACTTTATAAATTTCACTTTACATAATAGAGAATTATGGTAAGATTAAGAGGAACAACCTGTTCATATTGCATTATATGTACCATAACTTGGAACGTGCAGAGCCATGATAAGTTTATAGAATACACTTTGGAAGGAAAGATTCCACAGGCCCACCAATCACTGGTACTCATTTATGGAACCCACCATAGCTGCAGCTTGGTGGGGGGAAAATGTACAAAACCACATTGAAGACAGTGTAACTGAACAGAATTACCATATCCCATAATAATATTAGTATAATCTTAAAGTAGATATTGAAAGCTTGTTCTCTCAGCTATAGTGAGGCCAGGTGTGCATGAAGGAATTAATCACTGGTGTGATGTATATTTCTTATAGGCAATGACATTGATCACATCAGTTAACCAGTGTTCATTCTCTTGACCTTGGCAGAGCAGAGGACAAACCCAACAGCCAAACTTGGGAGGGGGAAACCAATCAGGTCCACACATAAGAATTAAGTTAGAAACTGTACCTTGTCAACTGGAAGAAAGTCATTATCTACTTCTATTGACCTTGGACGTAGCTTTATAGGTTTGTCCTTAAAAATGTCTCCAAAGCCAACCCCTTTGACCTTTTTGGGTTGGATTGTTGCTGCTCCATTAGCTCCTTCTGATTTCGTGCTGCTTGAATCACCACCGTCACTTTCTGAGCCGGTAGCATCTCTCAAACCTACAAGAGGGAAAGTCAAAAACGAAAATTGTGGCTTAAGATTTTCAAAAAGTGAAGGTAAGCAAAGCAACACTCATGCAGCAGCAGATAAGCCTATACAGTGGAATGGGCTTCCATCCTTTGAGGTTTTTAAGCAGTGGTTGGATGGCCATCTGTCGCGAATGCTTTAGTTGAGATTCCTGCATCTGAAGGATTGGATTAGATGATCTTCGTGGTGCCTTCCAACTCTATAGTTCTATGATTCTAATTCCTATATTAGGAATTAGAAAAACCTTATTGTAGCAGTAAAACTTACTGTAGAACATTCAGCATCTGGTTTATTAAGGTTATTAGCAGTGCTTTTTTCTGGGGGGATGCAGGGGTACGCAAACCCCCTAAACATTGTGTGAATCTAAGTTTAGCCTCATTGAGGGGCAGTATTTCAATATGAGTAGGAAAATGCGAGTACCCCTAAACATTTTTTTAGAAATAAAGCACTGGTTATTAGCATTACGGAGAACATTTGAGGATAAACAGGTATCCACCATTTAAAAATAAACAAATCCAAATTTAAACTATACTTCCACATCTGTTGCAATGCTGAAATACAAGGATTCTTTGCTGTTTTTGATCTTGACCAAGTGCAAAATTAAGTTCTTAGGTACTCCCAAGTTGGAATACCATCAGCATTTCTGATAGCTGAAATTGGAGCCCTGCTGGAATAATTTGCAGCTTTTCAATGACTGGTCCAATGAGATTTGCATGCCTGAAAAGAGATTTCCAAAATTCTGTCTGATGCAGCGGTTACATAATTTATCTAAATAGTTCCATAACCTAGCAGTGTTGGTTCAGTTTCATGGCTTCTTGGCCACTTAAACTGGTATTTAAAAACAGTGTGTGATGTATTTACTGAGCGCAACTTGTCCCTTCTGGCCATTGCCAGGATGGCTTCATGCAAGGATGTGAAAGATATCTAGCAGCCAGAAAAGACTGCATTTAAAATGTTCTCAATTAATTCCTTTTGTAACTTGATATGGAAGGCATCATAATATTATGATTTATGTAAAGCCAGATGAAGCTGTTAGGCAATTAAGTGATGAAGCAAGTGTGTGTGATAAGGTGGGTTTACTGAATCGGTAAAAAAAGCAAAATGAAATGAGCTCTTCTCTTCCCTTGGATAAAGCGGGGAGAGGCCTTTGACAAATCAGCGGTATTTCTTACCTGCTTTTCCAACAGTGGTCTTCAAGATGCCTTAGGCTGCAATCCTAACCCCACTTTCCTGGGAGTAAGCCCCACTGAATTCAACAGGACTTACTTCTGAGTAGATGTGGTTAGGATTGCACTGTGAGACACAAAGATAAAGGTAAAGGTACCCCTGACCATTAGGTCCAGTCGCGGACGACTCTGGGGTTCCACGCTCATCTCGCTCTATAGGCCAAAGGAGCCAGCGTTTTGTCCGCAGACATCTTCCAGGTCATGGGGCCAGCACGATTAAGCCACTTCTGGCAAACCAGAGCAGCGCACGGAAACGCCATTTACCTTCCCGCCAGGGTGGTACCTATTTATCTACTTGCACTTTGACGTGCTTTTGAACTGATAGGTGGGCAGGAGCTGGGACCAAACAATGGGAGCTCACCCTGTCATGGAGATTCGAACCGCCAACCTTCTGATTGGCAAGCCCTAGGCTCTGTGGTTTAGACCACAGCACCACCTGATAGACACAAAGTTAGAGGAATGTAAAACAGCACAGCTTGTCTATAATGTTACACATGCCCAAGTGGCCTCAACTAAGTCCAGAATATAGTGTTGTCGGTCCCATGCTATGGCACATGAATCAAGCAGCAAATCGCCAGACATCCTTGCTTTTGACTTTCAAAAGAGGTTTCAAAATCATGCCTACAGGATTTTGAAGCTATTTAATTTTTTTTTTTTGATTAGTCAGTCACCTTAATGACAATATTTTTTTTTTAAATGGTGCTCCATGTTTTAACATTGTACACAACACTGTTATTTTATCACACAGTGGTATGATACATACACACACGCACACCAGCAACTGCAAACAGGTTACAACCACATCACTATATATCCTATCAAAAGCTGGGGAGAATAGGGCAGTTTTCATCTGCTGCCTAAAGGGTAGTATGGCTGACACAAGGTGAATATGCTTGAACAGGGCAATCTATAACTAAGGTATGATCACAACAAAAGCCCCCAGCCTTTGGTGGTCATGTCAGCTCTAAGAAATCTGGTGCAGAGTCTCAGAACCACCTGGCTAGAACAAATGGGTATACACAGGTGAAGTTTTTTCACACTGAGCATCATCAGGATTACCTGACTTCATACTGCTTGTACTCACTGCTGCTACTGGATCCAGAAGAAGATCCAAGAAATTAATTCAGAACACTTGTGTAATGAAAATTGAGGGGGAGAGGGGAGATGAGAAAATTAATTGAATGCCGAGCTTCTTACCATACCAATATTATTCAGATGGTACTTGTAGTCAATCCATATATATGTGACCTTTTAAGTGTATGACTCACATCAAGCCAGTTACACAATCAAAATGATATATTATTTAAGGAAGAAAAAGAAAGCTAAATAGTACTTAATCAAATATGCAATCAAATACTCTGTGTAACCTGATCATTGCCAAAACATTTAATTACATTCCTCTCTAGCTGAGACAATCTTGTTTCAAAGGCACATATCCACACCCCTGTGCAGGAATAAAATAAATCAAGACAGACAACCTGTTTCACTCTACTATCCTCATTGAGAAAGGCTATTCTGTTTATATTAGAGGGTAAACTTGTTTCTCCTTCAAAGCACTCAGTATCTTCAGAGAGAATGGATATTTTATTGCTATGGTTGCATGCCAACTTTTCCTCTGTGCAAGCAAACTCAAGATGTATCTGATCATTCCATGTTGCTCCTAAAGGTTGCTTGTCACTAACAAATATTCAGTATTTGTACCGGCTAATTTAGAGAACACTGGTTTACCTGTGTCACACTCTAGCCATGTTAGCACAACATGTTAAACCAGTTTATTGGAACAAGAAGAATGGGAGAAAGCGAGTGTCCTCCTTCATAGCTGGGAATTTAGAATCTTCCACATTTATTATGTTGAAGCACAGTTTTCCACGTCATCTGGAGTCAGAACTGTGGTTAATCATGACTATGACTTATGAAAGGCAAACATCTGAGCCAGACAACTATTTCTGTCTAATCTGATCCTAGCAGCCAAGGAGGAAAAGTTATAAAGCTAAGATACAAATAGGCATTGTCTTGGGGTATCACTCCTAGAGGGAGAAGGGAAACGTGAGAAAAGAAACAGCGAATTTTACTTCTTTCCTCTTTACTGCATATTTATGTTTTATGCAGACCACCAACCCAGTGCTATCTTCTCTAACTGATAGTTCTACAAGATCTCAAATAGGAATCTATGGCATCACCTGCTACCTGATCCTTTTATCAGGTAATTTCAGAGACTAAACCTGGGAACATTTGCATGCAAACTATTTGCTCCGTCACTACCTATTTTCTCTTCCCTAAAGTTTTATCTTCAAGATAAGGAACACACAAGAAATGAGTGAAAAAAGAGCAACGAAAGTGTAAGCAACTTACTTGCTGTGAGAGAGAAAGGATTAGTCTACATGTTCAAACCAACATTATCTACCTTTGCTGACAAAGTGTCTCAGGGCCTCGATGACAAAGTGTAACAAGCACATTATTTCACTTAATCCCCCATCTCTAATAAATCACAAGCTCCCAAGTAAAGAAAGCCAATAAATATGAGATATGCAGACAGAAAACTAGGGTACTGTAGAGTGACAGGTGTACAACTATCTTCCTGTTAGGCAGCAGTTATGGGGCGGGGTGTGCTTGGTGCAATGACCTCCTGGAACCCAGGAATTAAGTTTGTTCCCCTAAGGTCAAGGCAGCTGATCTAGGGTACAGAAGCTGAGAAAAAGAGACTGATTGGTGGGCAAGACCTTCAGAGATGCGACAGAAATGCATCAGTCTCAGCGTTACAACTTTCCAGGTAAGAAAGGCATCATTCTGAAAAACAAGGAAATGATGCACCTGAAGGGATCAATTCCTTGGAGAGTGAACAGGTACTGTGTCCTGCTGAGGATACCCTTCTGGGGAGCAGAGGACTCCCAGTCATGGGAAATTTGATTATGTACACCAGGCTTCCTCAACCTCAGCCCTCTGGATGTTTTGAGACTACAATTCCCATCATCCCTGACCACTGGTCCTGCTAGCTAGGGATCATGGGAGTTGTAGGCCATAAACATCTGGAGGGCTGAGGTTGAGGAAGCCTGATGTACACAAACAGCTGGGTGTGGGATGGGTGTGCTTACCTGCAGTAAATTACCTGCCTAGTGTTAAAATATGTGACGTATAATCTAGATAGGCTGTGTAGATAGTGCTGGGGATGTGTGAGTTGGTACAAATTATATGGGGGACTGCAGCATCAGAATTAGGGTGGCGTGGGCGGTTCCTATGCACAGAGTGCCAAGCCGAGGGGCACTTAACAACAACAACCAAAAAAACAACACTATATTTATACGGGTACCTTCTGAGAAGATCCATAAAAGCAACTGTACCGGAAGGAATTATTGTGACAGTAAGAAATATTTTGTGGGGGGCACCAAATTATCAAAGTCTGCCCCCTGGGGGAAAGTAGTTGTGCAGGCCTGGAAGCCAAATTTAAGTTGCTAGATACGGGGTTAAAGCCAGAACTTCCAAGGTAGCTTTCTCAGAAACACTACATGTTCTACAATCAGGGCCCAGTAGAAAGGTAGAGATAGCTGGAGAGGTACAGATATAGCAGGTATAACAGAAACCTGGTGGAATGCAAAAAAAAATTCTAATAATATTCATGTACACAGAGAAGAAATGATGTGGTGCAGCTGTGGCAGCAAAACAGGACACCTCATCTGCTCCACCTGCAATAAAACATGTCTCTCCACAACAGGTGCTGTGTAACTTTCCAACTTGACTCTCCAACTTTGACTTTACCATGAAGGAGCACTCCTCCATTGTCTCCCGAGTCAGATGGATGCCAACAACATATACTTCGTTCAGGTATATATTTTTTCAACAAATGCAGTTTTATTGTCCAAGATTTTTGCCAATTCCTTTCTAGTATATATGGTATATAAAGCACACCAATTCTCATACAAGACAAACAAACCTTAACTTCTTAGGCTTTGGCAACAAATCATGCAGGATAAAGAGGAATGAGCAGTCCCCTGCATCATGGAACAACATGCATTAAGCAGTGCAAAATGAATGCTGGAGCCCTCAGCATGGCTGTAAGTCTATCACTATGGACGCAACTATCAACATGGATGCTTTTGCCATCTTTGTAACTAAGGATTACTGTAAGATTTCATTTCCTATTCCTGTCCTCTACATTATTTACTTGCTTTAATTTTTCTGTGCACTTACAGATGTCTATTGCTTACTTCACAGCAGTTACAGTCTAACAATAGGAAAAGCTTTTTGATATTCAATTAGCTTCAATGGAAAGAGAACATAACATGTGTTCAGGGCAATGTTTACCTGAAATCTGAGACAGCATGAAAAGCAGAATACCAAGAGGCCAGACTAATGCTGGAACTACGCATTTCGCAGAGACCAATCTGTCGAATGGCTACAGTACAGCGATGGGAGGGAAGGGGTCCTTCACCTTGCTTCTTCCCACTGCTTTTCTCCTGCAGTTCCCTGCACCAGCCACTTTCCTGACATGACAAATACATACTTGTAAAAGTGTCTGGAGGAGGGGATTACAGGAGCAAAGCAGTAAGCAATACGGCTGGGCGACATATCGTCCAAAAACGGTTGAAAGCCCATATTCTGTTATTGGTTTCCTAATTTTTGACCTGGCAATAATAACAGCTGCCCATTGTTAGGAAATGAGGCAGGAAGTACTTCTGTCAAAATTTAAAACAACTGGATGACAGGCAATTGTCAGAAATCAACTTGAGCAGTATTTCAGGTTCCCCCATCCTGGTTCTTCAGTGCATAAAAATGGCTTGCCTTTTTATTTGAACATTCCCCTACAAAGAGTCAAAACAGACCCACCTAAACTAGTGCTGTCTACTCCATCGGGCAATGGTTGCTCATAGTTTCAACCAGAGATTTTTCCCAGCCCTGCAGCCTGAGATCCTTTCAACTGAGGACACAGGAAATTGAATCCTAGGATGTTCTGCGTGCAAAGCTCTACTACTGACCTACTCCTCCTTTGAAGATATGTGCCTCTATCAGCAGCTATACAAGGTAGAAATTGAAATTAAGTACCAAGGAAAGTTTCATGGCGCTTTAGGTGTATCCCAACACTGTACATACATGTACACACACATGCATGCTGAAAAGAAATACTGGTATACATTCTGAGAATGTATGTGCTGTGTAACGGGAAGCAAACCAGACCAACTTCAGCTCACAGAGCAGCCAAGACTGAGCGCAATGGATGGACATTATTCTTTAGCAGATGAATTCGTACACAATCAAGGAACAGCCTTAGCTTAGCATTTCCTATTTTCTTTTAATTAACTCACTGTTATAGCGTCTGTAGCTGTCAATCTTTGCTGGTGCCACTTTATACAGAATTGTCCCTTGAAAGGCAGACTTTCCTGACAGCAGAATGAAAGAAAAGGAAAGCCAAAAAAAAAAAAGGGGGGGGGGAGAGAAACAAAAGGGAGGGAGAATAGGAGAATCGAATAATGGCAAAAGAAAGGAGAGGAGTTGTTTTTAATTTTTGCTTTTCAATGGAACTTTAAATAGTAAAAGAAAAGGCTTTTGGTAGTCTACACTTCCACTGTATGCATTTCAAACAGGAAGAGTACAAAAGTTTGCTAATGATTGTATTATAAAATGGACATTACAGTGCAACATCTGTTATAGCAAATCAAGGCAAAATGATAACTGTAGAATTGTGAATAGAAAGGAAAGCATAGACTGGAGCATACATACTTCTTCCCTGGAAATGACACAAAATACTGGGACTTCTGAAAAAAAAGGTGTTCATTTTTTTATTCTACCATAACAAACAATTTAAACCAAATTAACTCCGTCATTCACTAGAATAATGTTTCTTTAACCACTGAACAAGCTTATACTATTAACAGAGTGCAATGCTGCAGAACCTTGTTGAAAATTGCAAACATGGGCTAATAATTGAAATGCTTATTATGTTTTTCACTTTACAATACTGAAATATAATAAGGCAAATTACAGAAAATTTAAAAATGTAAAAAGAGCAATTGTTGTATTAACAGTATACAAGAAGAAAATGAAAGAAAAAAGATAAGTAATCATATACTGCATCAAACCAAGGCAAATTATTTGTTGAAAATCAGGAGCTTGTTTATTATACATGGATATTTACATTCTGCTTCAAAGGCTAAGGTGGCCTGAATTTTTTGTGGGCGTCCCCTCTTGAATGCTTTCTCTTTCCACCTTTTCTGGGTTCCTCTATCTACCCTCCGTGATGGCCTTCTAAATGCCAAGAGTGCAGAATGAGCGGTGCAGGTGCTGTGTGGATTCGGCCTGGGACCCTCGTACCTGTGGGACCACCTCTCCTGGTATGCCCCACGGAGAGCCTCAAGGTTCATAAATAGCAACACCCTAGAGGTCCCGGGCCCTAAGGAAGTTAGATTAGCCTCAACCAGAGCCAGGGCTTTTTCAACACTGGCTCCGGCCTGGTGGAATGCTCTGTCTCATGAGACCAGGGCCCTGCAGGATCTGATTTCTTTCCACAGGGCATGTAAGATAGAGTTGTTCCGCCTGGCCTTTGGCTTTGATTCCGTCCCCCTCTTTCTTTTTCCTTTCTCCTCCTGTGAAGAGGCTGCCTCTTAATGTTTTAATGTTGTATTTCAATCTTGTTTTTAAGTTGTATTCATTCAACTCATTTTTATTATTGGTTGTTAGCCACCCTGAGCCCGGCCTTGGCTGGGGAGGGCGGAGTATAAATAAAATTATTATTATTATGAGGAGTCATCTGCCTTTAGATCTGCTAGGTGCACAAGCATGACCTTTCACTTACTGAAGTTCAGGAGAAGTGCAGAGTTGGTGCAGCAGAGTGGCTAGGAAATGATGCTACGAATCAGGGAGTCTCTTGTTCGAATCATGACTCTGACATGAACTCACTATGTAGTAGTAGGCAAGCCACTCTCTCTTGATTTCAGTCCTCCCTTATTCGATATGAGGGACAATAATACTGACTTAAATTGCAGGATTGTTGTAAACATTACAATATTCAGAGGTGCTCTGAATATCTGAAATGTTAAGACCATTAAGTTCCTGGATGATTAAAAATAACAACCGTGTGACTGGGAACTAAGGGGAGAAGTTGAGAGTCAGTGTATGTCAGGCACACAGAATCTGCCACTGACAACGAACCAACTAGGGATCCATTGTGCTGTACAGACAGGTATGGAGACAGTACAGCACATCCTTAACAGACAAGGAAGTAAGCAGGGCCCATTTATCTGTCTGAGCTGTATTAAAGATAACATGGAAGTTGCTACCTTAGGCTGGGACTAGATATACATGAGACCTGCTGATGAAAGCAGCAGCCACATTCATAGCCCCTCCTTTTCCCTACTTGTATCACCTACAACAACTTACCCATGTCCCGATGTCATGAATTATAGAGTGAGGTCGTAAGTCACAATATTATGATGCCAGGACATGGCATGCTGTTATTAGTTGTTACACTGAAGGAGGACGGACAAAAAAAACCAAGTGCATTTATTTTGTTTTGTTTTTTTCACCTAAGTCAGTCCTTCTGTGGGCTTGAGCTAATTGCATTTTATATCAAAGCGATACTTTAAAAATCCAGGCTTATTGTATTTCTCTTGTACCACCACAAAGGATAATCAAAATTATGAGCCATAGGGCAAATATTGTACATCAGCAGTGATACTTATAAGACAATCTAAGCATTGATATAAAATGATTTATATATATTCTGTTAAAAATAGGATAAAACCATAACCCCTCCCCTCAAAAAAGAGCACTATACTTCTCTTCTGAACAAAACTGATAAATGATAACACCTAAGATGTTGAAAGGAATGTTACTAGGGAAGAGGCTGAAAAGCATGTTACTAGGGAAGCACCATACACACACACATCATTCGATATTGTAATTTATGACAGAAGTGGTCTGCAAGCACACAAATCCTTAGTGCTGCAAGAAAATTCAAGTGCAATATAAAATACCTAAAATTATTTTAACAGCGTTACATACAGCAAATCATATGAATTAATCATATGCTCTGTTTATAAAGAAGCAAACTGAGGGAGGCAGCAGATAGCATAAACCTTCCCAAACACACTTGGCATTTATAGTTGTATTGATGCCAACAGATAAGCAGACCACTAAGAATAATAGGCTCAAAAAGAGCCTTCTACTGTATTCTTCCAGAGACAGATGTGAGGGAAGCCCTGTGCAAGTCCCTGAGGAACACTGCTGAGGTCCAAAACAATTAATTTTGCTAAAATAATTTGTACAGGTCTTTTGGCAATTCTGCACCAGTATTTATCATTCCCCAAAGATAGGGGTCTTTACAGAAAGAATAAGAAGTCCTCACATAATGGAAGTTTGATTTTTCAATCTTGGGAATAGATGAAATAGGTTTTAAAATTCCAAAAAGAAAAGCAGACCCACAGACCCACTGCCAAGTGTCACACTCCCCAAACAGAAAGCCCAGTGATTTGGAGCAAACCACAGGATCATTTATTTTCCTCCTTCTCCACTTTAAAAATGAATTTTCTGAATTCGCATTTAGGAGGTTCCAGTGGGGAGGCATAATGCTAAATCATAGGTGAGAAGGGCAGAGTACTTTGTGAAGAAGGGAAGGGAAGGAGCATGTAATTTTGCAGCCCACTCCCAATTGCAAAACTGCAGTAAGGACTGCACCTGTACCACCCTGGACAATTCACAACAACTTCTCCCAGCTAGATCGCTCCAGATTAACATATGGCAGTAGATGTTCAGAAGCAGGAATACCTGGAAATACCAACCATGGCAGTAAAAAAACAACAGTAACCAAAGCTAACACAAAGAAGGGTCAGTTAACATTTGTATCCTTACTTGGTTTTATTAGCTGCTCCTGTTGGACAGTTCCAGTATCGTCAGAATCAGAAAGCTCCTTTATGAAGTTGGAAGGAAACATGCCGGTCTTCCCATTGAGAACTCCTTCCCACCAACCCTCTTCCACCTGAGCCAAGAAAGAAGACATACATACTGACATTTGCAAGTTTACATCTACATAGGACAATTTGGAATAATTTGAGTAAATCTTTCATTGGTTTTAATAAGATATAAAACTTGAACTGACAACAGTGATCTATCTCACAGGGTTGTTGTGAGGGGGCAAACACAATAAAGCACATCACAAATTAGAAGTACCATATAAAAAGGTAACAACTAGCAATTAATTCCATAGTAACCGCACCACAAAATTCTTGCATTCGTTATGATTAGTTTAATTCCCAAATGAACTCAACTGCTTCTGGGCTGAAATGGAAATGTAATCAATATTTCAACAGAAAGAGTAAAAAATGGCCACGTTATTTCATTTATACTACTGTGGACAATAATTCTTGATGTTATCATTTTTGTTATATGAATGATGCTACCAGACTTGAGTACTCTGAATTGAAGACAAGGAATATGTCAACACAATACAGAAGTTATTTCTATTGGAAAGCCCTGAATGAATTATTTACTAGCCTAACAGCATTAAAAATAAATATGTCACATAAAATGATTTAGTTCCTCCTATGCAAAACTATTCCATATGGAGCAGCAGCTTCCTGCTAGGAAATGACAGTCCCTAAATACCAAATGCCCTTGGGTTATAATGTGACAGCAAGGAATGACTCATTCTTTAGATCAGCTAAGGATATTCTTGACATTTTAATAATTTCCATCCATCAGACATTGTCCATCCACAGAAAAGTGACAGAAGAGGACAGCTTCTGTATGCAAAAGATTAGTCTCTAACATGGGTCCCAAACCCTTCTTTCTAGCAAAAAGAAATGGTTTTTTTAATTAAAAAAAAAACCACACAATTACTTGGGAAGCAACTGTACAAAACTAAGTTTAAAAAGCTTACTGCAAATGTTACAACACTTTGTTTTACTGAGTATTTTCAGTTTGATACAGGTTTAAAAAGAAAATAAAAAGTCAGTTCAGTTTGGAAATGGCTGTGTAATTATCATTTTTTAAAATAATTGTAAAAATTAATAAGCCTATTGTTTCAAAACAGACTACATTGTTGCAAAAATTTCCAAACAGGTAGGTGACTAAAGCTGGAGATATATAGATATAGATATAGATATAGATATATATACATAAACACACACACATACAGAGAAATATATAAACAAAGAATACTTCTGTAGTGCAATTATTTTGAAGAAATACTAGATTTTGGAAATATCGCTTGTTTGTTTTTGTAAGAAACTGAGCAATGGGGGAAGGGGTGGGAAAGACAAAATAGATCAGAGTTCAGTAACATGATGCCTGTGGGTGCATCACGTACTTGAGGTCTTCTCCTGGAACCCACAAATCACTTGAGCCCTGCACACACACACACACACACACACACACACACACACACACACTGAAATGTACACCAAGCTGAAGGCAAAAGTTGGTCTAGTTCAGGGGTAGGCAAACTAAGGCCTGGGGGCCAGATCCAGCCCAATCACCTTCTCAATCCGGCCCACGGACGGTCCAGGAATCAGCGTGTTTTTACATGAGTAGAATGTGTGCTTTTATTTAAAATGCACCTCTGGGTTATTTGTGGGGTCTGCCTGGTGTTTTTACATGAGTAGAATGTGTGCTTTTATTTAAAATGCACCTCTGGGTTATTTCTGGGGCATAGGTATTTGTTCATATATTTTTTTCAAAATATAGTCCGGCCCCCCACATGGTCTGAGAGACAGTGGACTGGCCCCCTGCTGAAAAAGTCTGCTAACCCCTGGTTTCACAACCACCCCTCTCAGTCAGCCCATCAAAGATTCCTCCACTGTTGCTTACACATGCAACCCCTTCTAAGTAAACCTATGTGATGCCACATCTTTATTTTTAAACCTTCCTCAAACCCTTTAAGTCCTGATTGCCTACTGAAACCAAGCCTAAGTAATTGTAACTGAACCGAAAGCATATTCTTCCGGTTACCTGCACCTTCCTCCCTTGCTCTCTATCTTTCCCCCACGCAAATTTTAAGGTTGTTGTTTTTTTGCTTGTTACTATTTAAAGCGCAGTGCATTTTGAAGGTGCTGTATTTATATGAATAATAAATTAATACAGGTAAGACATGTAAACAAACTGTAAAGTGCGACAAGACACAAGGATAGAGGTTATAATGCACTGTAAACTGTACACAACGCTGACTCTGAAATTTAGCAATCCCAAATTGAGCCAGTCTTGCGCCATATTGTATGAAATGGTGCTATTAATTTAAGCCAATAAAAGGTTACAAATGAAAATGCATTATTCATGAAACAGCCTATCTCCCGTACACATACATAGTAAACATTCATCATGATATTAGCAATTTAGCATAGAGTATTGTTCCAACATCAAGCACTGAAGTAATGCTTGCCTTCATAGGAACAAAATAAAAAGTGAGGATTCATGTACTGAGCCAAAGATTTATTGGTTTACGGTAACGTCTACTGATTTTATCGTGCATGCTATTTTTTATTCAGCTGAACACATTTAAAATGGTTTGCTGCTTTTTAAGTACCACAATCACATATTTTTCATAGGGTTATGGTATCACAGAATTATTTGGAATTTTATGCACAATATATTCTGCCCAACCACTCCCCTCTTAGATAGCAAAGAATCCCACAGGCCATATAAAACGTTCTACATGTATGCTGACGTTCTTGTCACTGTTACAAGACAACTGTTACAGACAATGTTACTGAATCTTCCTTGGATTGTCTATTATTATTATTATTATTATTATTATTATTATTATTATTATTATTATTTGTAGATCACAGCAGTTCACAACATAAAAATACAAAATAAGAACACATACATCCACTGAACAAACAATGGAGTACTTTTCTAAGCATATGAGTGCTACTTACTTCTCCAACCACCTCTATGATATCTCCAACCTTCAACTCTAGTTCATCTTCATTCTGAGGCATATAACTGAAAGCCACCTGACATCTTCTCCGCCTATTTCGATCACCTACATGAAAAGTTAAAAACATTATTAATTATAACATTCGTACTTAAACTATCAACTGCACTACAAAGTAGTTTGCTATGCTGCCCTTTCTCAACACACGTCTGAAAATTACAGGAAACCTAGAGCACTACAGCAATAACAAATGCAGTATGTTTACTGAGTATGAGCTTCACACACTTCAGGGAAAAGGAGACGGGTGACGATGGGGTAGAGAGAGGAGTGTCCTAGTCACCAGTGGCGTAGCGTGGGGGGTGCAGGGGGGGCCGGCCGCACCGGGCGCAACATCTGGGGTTAGGGCAAATCCATGGGTTAGGGGGCGCAAATCCACAGGTTAGGGGGCGCAAATCCACGGGTTAGGGGGCGCAAATTACTTGCCTTGCCCCGGGTGCTGACAACCCACGCTACGCCACTGCTAGTCACAGCTAGACCTCCCATGCGGCAAGGTGGGGAGGTCGTCTAAGGCAGGTTTGGGGTGAAGGAGTACGCTGCTCACCACCCTTGTTTCCCACATAGGTGCATCCTCCCCTCTGCCCCACCTCCTCCACTTTTGCTGAAGGTATGCTCTGCCACAGAAGGTAGTGGGTGTGCCTGTGGCAGAAGACAGTGGCGTGATGGCGGCAGGGTGAGCCCACAGCAGAGGAGACTGCAGCGGAAGTGGGTTTAGGGAAGAGAGATTGGTTCAGTCGCACTGGGCATGGAGCCTTAGGGACTCTGCAGGCGACGCTGTAACTACGGTGTTGAATGGAAGGCAAGGGGGCCAAATTTTGATGTCCCACAGGGCACAGCTGAAATTTGAGGCACCAAGGTCTACCACAACTTCAGCAGGTGGAGGGGGAGGTTGCTCTAAGCGACCATAGCGCCATCTTCCTCCAACTTATAGAATGTGACTATATGCAATGTGGAGCAAAAACCTACAAATGGTTCCAAGCTGAAGACTGTTGCCTTCTATGATTTGGAAGGTGACAGAGTGCAGGCAGAGCTGACACTCATCTCTACAGTACATTCTACACTCTTCTTCATGTGTCTACTTTACCTTTTTGGAATTTCTGAAGAGGGCTGTGGTTATCTTAATTTCACTAAGAGAGCTATACTCTACTGCCTCCTTGCCCAAGATTTTCAACTCCAAAAAAGTTACTGACTTTTGTAAAAGAAACAAATGTCAGTTTAACTACTAGGTTTTATGAAAGCATCCATTCAATTATGCGAAATAGCCCGCTTCTCTACTCCACTTGCAAATAAACATGAACTTTTTATTTAACCTCCTATTTTATTTAACCTCCTATTCAAATTAGGTATTCTCTTAGTGAATGAAATTATTTTTCGTTGAATTATAGAGCAAGTTCCTCCTCAGCTAGAAGTGTGTAGGTCACACGCATGTGGGGCTCTAATTGCCACCTAACCTATGACATTCCTGAAAGAGCTCTCAGAATAAAAGCAAACAACAGTTACTGACGCAGCGGCACAGGTCAGCTCAGCATGTCAGTTTATACCGCTAACCATTCTGAAGAAAACACTCACCAGGAAGAACTTTCAATTGCACTCCTCATGTTAAATTCTTATTATTACTTTTGATGGCAGCAGAACAATTGCTACAATCAAAAGGTAACCCTACCATACAAAAGGGGTGTTTTTTATACTGCTTTGTTATTTGATGATTAACCCAACCCTTTGAACTGTGCCAGCAAAAGCAAGCCATGAAAGAAGTGACACAAAAGTCCAGGTATAAAAATCACTGGCTTAATATTATTAGCTAGGTCAGGTATCCAAAAAAGTGTGAGAAATACGAGTATTAACCTGTCCTTTTTATATGGCCCTGTAGTAAATATTTGAGGGTGGTACAAGCAACATCCACACCGCTGGGGTTCCAGAATGCTGACAAAAACAAATTCGATGCATTTTGGTGCAAAGACCCATTTCTACCCACAACAAAGAAGGGGGGGGGAGAGGGGAGACAGAAGTGAACAGCAAGGATTGTCCCTCTGTGATCCACCCACTGAGAATCAACAGAGACCTGATATTGGTGAGTTCAGCCTTAGAATTAGGGATGAAAGAGGAATTAGTTTGGTCTGCTTTTCAAAGATGACGGGCCTAACACTTCTGAACCAGCTTGTGGATTGGAACACAGCAATAATAATAATAATAATAATAATAATAATCTTTATGAAAAAAGATGTGTACAAATACAGGGTGAGTCTTTTAAAAGAGGCCCCGTGGATACAGAGTACACATGTTCCACTGGGCCTCTTTTAAAAGTCTCATCTTGTATTACAGATAAATTCAACGGAAAGCACTGAGAAGTGTGTAGATTAGAAACTACAGTGGTACCTCAGGTTAAGTACTTAATTCGTTCCAGAGGTCTGTTCTTAACCTGAATCTGTTCTTAACCTGAAGCACCACTTTAGCTAATGGGGCCTCCCACTGCTGCCGCGCCGCCGGAGCATGATTTCTGTTCTCATCCTGAAGCAAAGTTCTTAACCTGAAGCACTATTTCTGGGTTAGCGGAGTCTGTAACCTGAAGTGTCTGTAACCTGAAGCGTATGTAACCTGAGGTACCACTGTACTTATTTTACATAGAAAAACATGTACAGAATGCTTACAACATAAATGCCGACTTCTTATGTGCTCTTTCAGCATTAAAATGGGATGGAACAGACCTATCATTGAGTACCATTAAGGCTAAAGCGGGACATAAATAGCTGTTCAGTCCATCCCTTCTTTATGTTCATGTACAGCTTATGTAGGCTAATGCCCAACTTCACTGTGCTATTTGGCTGGCTGCCTGTTGACAGAACTGGAAAGAAATTTTACCAAGCCTGCAGATCGGTGGTGCTTTTGCTGATCACTAGAGCTGTCAGCGGGATGCGGGCAGCGCTGTGGGTTAAACCACAGAGCCTAGGACTTGCTGATCAGAAGGTCGGCGGTTCGAATCCCTGCGACGGGGTGAGCTCCCGTTGTTCGGTCCCTGCTCCTGCCAACCTAGCAGTTCGAAAGCACGCAGTACAAGTAGATAAACAGGAACCACTCCGGTGGGAAGGTAAATGGCGTTTCCGTGTGCTGCTCTGGTTCGCCAGAAGCGGCTTAGTCATGCTGGCCACATGACGCGGAAGCTGTACGCCAGCTCCCTTGGCCAATAAAGTGAAATGAGCGCGGCAACCCCAGAGTCGGGCATGACTGGACCTAATGGTCAGGGGTCCCCTTTACCTTTTAGAGCTGTCAGCAGGGCATTAGCCAGAGAGGACAGTGGGTGGGTGAGCGTGATCTCATTGCAAGCCCTGATGTGGGGTCTCTTAAGGGCCTCAGGAGTTTGGAGATAAAGATGTGTTCATTGAGGGCTGGCTACCAGATGCATCCACACAATTGTGACTCTCGACAGCATAGAGGACTTTGCATCATCATCTGCCATAAAGCCATTCTTCCTCTCAGGTTTATGCAGCATGCTTCTTTAGGGAGCAATATTTATACAAAAATGATATAAGCAGTACATAAATGTTGTGGAATATTTTCAAATCAGTTTGGTGTGTTCCAAAACTACCTCTCCTTTACTCCCTGTTTGTTCAGATTTGGTCTAATGTTTTCTTTATTGCTATTAACAAATAATTGGATCTCATAACATTCATTCAAATCTCATTTTTAAAAATTAATACTGCATAATGTAAATCATATTAAATATTCTAATCTTAAAATGTTATATATTTAGCAATCCTGTAAAATGTTACATTTTATCCTACAATAGTAATCATTTCCCCATGCATACTGAAATATTCAAACCAAATCAAAATGTGTTTTAAGAAAACTGTTCAAAATATGTAAGTAATTTAATTCTATTACTTCTGCACTATGCTAGTAGGTCTCCTTGGAAACTAGACCTTGTCTCTATAAGCTGTATATTTGAAGAGCTGGTTTTGCTTCCAGCAAAGAAAATTTGCATAGATACCAAAATGAGTCAAACACAGTTGAAAAAATATATGATGAAAACACTTATTGGAAGGGCATGATAAATCAATTTAATTAGTATTTTAATTTTTTTAGTCCTAAGTAGTTATCCCTGAACATTTCAATTTCCCCACTGCATTTGAAGCAGGGGTGTAAATTTAAGGGGTAGATCAATCAAGCCAAAGTTTTAGTTGGTTCATTAATGTGAGGCAGTTTTAATCAATGGGGCTTTAATCTGCTCCTGTCTCAAACAATGGAAAAAAGTATACATTAAAATGGTAACCTTCCTTCTGAGAATTTGGAAATCATCAAATAGCTAAATATTTCATCTCTTTTACAGAAATTAATACACGTATGTGGGGGGAAGGCAACTGTTTTATGATCTTATTTTACATACCAAAAGAAGCCTTATGAAGTTCCCATTCTTTAAATTGGTTCTCATGAATTCTCCCATGTCATTGTATTCAGTGTTGCAAAGCCCCAGATATAGGCAGTGAGTATTTTTTCTTATCCAATATTTAGCACAGGTCATTCATGGTTGCTAAAATAATATAGACAAGTAATACCTGCTTATTTGTTCATAGTACATAAATTTATTTTAGGAACTGTGGAAGGATCAGTGTTTTTGAAATGGTTGAACCTATTAAGGTTTTGGTAACATGCAAATGTACTTATAATCTAACTAACTGAGAAGCTTTGGAATCAATCCCTACAGAGAAATAGGTCTGGAAAAGTTGCTAATTTTTCAAGGGGGGGGGGGAAATGCTAAAATGCTATTTTCCAAAAATCTAACTAGAGTTCAAACTAAGGTTTTCATGACTCTGCCTCCAAAGGAATCGTGCCTAAACATACAGCCTTCTGTTATGTTTTTTAGGTAATTAGATTTGCTAATAATATGTAGGTCAGCCTTGCTACTAATTCCTGAAATGGGAGTTTGCCTGGCCCATCATATTCTTCCTAATCTCCCTCCTTCTTTATCACCAACTCCAATAGATGTGGGAGCCCAAGAGAAGCAGGGGTAAGCATTTCTTTTCCACTGTAGTGACAGGCTATACACATGGCTCTGT